TCGGCGGCGGTCGGTGTTTTCTTTTATCGGTGTGCATAAACCGGTAAGACTTAAAGGGGTGGCGGAGAACAGAGACGAGCTCGGCCCTTTTGTCTGTGTACGATGCTTTAATACCGGTTTTATAAAATAGTCTTACCTAACTTTAAAAAGAAGAAATCACCTTAGTTGAGCTTATAATCTTAACACCTAATAAAATCTTACAACTTTTAAAATACTGTACTAATATTGCACAGTGTGTGCAATTTGTATTGCACAGTACTAATACTAGCTGTTGAAGTCAGAGAGATTTCTGGACCACCAAACTGATGGAAGGCTCGCAGCAAATATGTTTCCTGCTTTCAGACCGAAAAGCAGCATTTTAAGCCTATTCTTATTTGCCAGTCCTTACAGTTTGGGCGGGCTTTTTTGTGTGGCTGCAAGGTAAAAGAGTAATTGTGAACTTGATGAACTGAAGTGCCCTGTATGGGGTTGAAGTATTTTTGTTAGGCAGACTACACCGTGATGAGATGTAGATTTGTTCAGAAAATGTATCATTTCAGCACAGGAAGACACAGCTATAGTAGGAATTTGCAGGGCTATCTCTGCTAATAAAAGTTAGCATTCTTGTGTTTGTGTGTTGGTAAAGCTTATGAAAACTGTAAGATGTGTCTGTATTAGAGATTTTGCAGAGAAAGGTGTGAAACTGCCCAGCTAATATTTACAAACAGCACCAGGTATCAGAGTTAATCAGAGAGATGGCTAACTGGTACTGTGCAGTCTTTATGTACAGCTGTGATGGATTCCAGCCGTACTGCAGGACTGGAGTATGCTTCAATGTGCAGTGATTCTGTTAGCGTAGACCTGTTCTGCATCCAGCAGAATATAGCAGGGAACTGTTTTCTGTAAAACAAAACATTGCTCAGTGGTAATAGTATGTAAATATTCCCAGTTCATATTCCTTTCTCAGTTAAAAGGATGTTTATTTTTCCGTTGATCTCCTAAACAGCAATATATCTAAAAGCCTAATTGCAAATGTGTCTCTATAGAAGATTAATTAGTGTTTGTGTCTGGAATGAAGTGAGGAACTTGGCTGCAAAATCTCATGGATTTTTCTTTCTGGATTACTTTTCAGGTAGATCAGTTCCTCCATTTGATCACCTTGTGACCAAAGCCTTAGGCAAAGGTAGTGTGGGGACAGGAACCTCTTTAGCAGTAATGCTGCTAAAGAGCTAACTGTGAGCTCAGTGCGAAAAATTTAAAAAGCATTAGTAAAAATACTTATTTTTTTTACTTACTGATTCATAATACTTTATTTCTAGCTTTCAGTTGAGGAAAATGTGATAAAAACAAAACTAATCATTTCGGTACTCAGGCAAATGATCATGCTCCTATGACAAAATATAGTAAAGGTAATAGGATATATCAGGGAATGGAAAATCCAGGAGAAAATCCAGGAATATTTTCAACAAAAATACGTTATTACCAGAACTAGAATAGAGCCAAGAAGCCAGGAGGCTAAAAATAACACCAAGCGGTATGTATCAAATTTGCCACAAGATCTTTAGTAACTGGTAGTGATTCTTCAGAAGAACAAAGCAGAGATACTGTAGTGTCTGGCTTGACACCCTGCAGGTGTGGGAGAGCAAGCCCTGCCTTATGCAGTGTTGCAGTAGCAAATCAGTCTTTGTGGCTCCCACATCTTACGTTTTGGGATCTCACAAGATCAAAACAGGCAACACAGTGCTGGAGATCACACGCGTTTGCATTTTCTGCCAAGGTTATGGCCTAGCCCAGGAAGTTTTTTTAATGCTGCTTCTGTTTTGAAAGTATTTTAAAGGCTCCTGAATGAATGGGCTAGAAAGCTTAGAAATGGTGTGGTGGTTTTATGAAACTATTCTCCACCTAGAAATACTATTTTTCTGACTCTTATTGTCAATGTGAGTGATAGTTTTGTTTCACCCACAAAGGTTCCATGACAGCCAACATGATTTTCAGATACTGCCAAATTATGAGCAGCAAATCATTTGTGAATTACTGAATGATGGGACTAGATTGAGCCAGAAATGGAGAAATTTCCAGTGCATTTCCAGTAACTATAGCCATGTTTCCTGCAGAACTGTCATCACCATCTTGTGCATGGTATACTTCAGAGCCATAGAACAAGCGTCTGCTCAGAATGGTCCTTTTTGAGCCTCACTGGCATATTCAGGAGGATCTATCTGAGGAAGCTGATTTTGAAACTGAATTTCACATCACTCCCGAATGCTAAAACCAGTGGACTTGACCAAGATGCAGACTTTAAAGCTTGCCACAATCCTTTTAAAGCAATGTTTACTAACATTCATTCCTAGACCCTTCTCCTGCAAATGGTCCCACTAACTAAGAACCAGAAACATCTGCTTTTAACCTGCAGATTTCCCTTAGGTTTTGCTGCTGCTTGGTCTTGTCTGGTGGCTGTAATCATGACCACATGGTCGCTTCACTTGGACAAAGTAAGGGTCACCAAAGGGGAGGTCTGGCCCTTTCATGTTATATCTACACTACTTCCGGTAGTATAGATCTAACTAGTGCTTGTACAGTTGTGTGTTTTGCTGGAGTAGCTCAGGGCAGCCACAGCAGCAGGAGGGAGGTTCACTGCTGAGAGGAGGAGGTGGCTAGTAGTCCTCCTTTTATAGCAGCCAACACTGGTACTCGCCTGACGTGACTGTGAGAATCATATCTAAAGTCACTGATGACCTACTTACAATTAAAAGTAGTAGTTAGCTTTCTGGTTTGAAGTGGCAGATAAGCCATTATCTCTGAAATGCATCTACTAGTTATCTCTTTGAATCTGCAAAATGGAAGTTTCTAGGAGTGATATCTACAAGTAAATGTCTACTAATAGCACAGCTGTATGCTGCGGGGTGAAAAAAAATGGCTGTTATTTTTTTTGTTCTTAGGTATCTATGTGCCAAGTGTTAAGTGAACTGTTTCTGTTTCATTTTTCTTTCTGCATCCTGATGCTATAAACCATGTCAATGGTACATAATTAAATCTTTATTAGCACACTGTGGTTTTTATGATGAGTCACTGGGAAAATAACATTAATACTATACAATTTTATTCACTACTCATAATAAATAAAAATGCTGAATCAGGAGCATGGTCTTTTCATTCACTCATGTAGTTTTGCTTAGCTACGTTTGTACTGTAAACTATTTTGTTAAGGATATACTTATTTTTGTAAGGAAGGAACAACTGATCCAACCAAGTATTATAAAGTAGTGGGAAGATTATCCTTGACACTGGAGAAAATTCTTGAACACCTGTCAAACAAACAGAAATATTAGTCAATGGATTCAGGGCCAAATCCTGATTTTACATCTCTGGACACATCATTGTCTTTGGGTCGGCTTTTCAGTAGGGGGGAACTGAGAAGGTACTTAGCAGAGCAGAGTTCCACTACAGTCCTTTAACTGAGAATTAGAGGAGTATGTTGCACCCATGGTGGATAAAAGCAGGAAGAAACTATGGATTAGAGCCCACTAGCTAATACCTTCCCCTTCTGTTTAAGGCGAGTTTGTAAGAAACGGTGACTCCAGGCTCTCAGTGTCAATGACAGCCATTATATGTATCCAAAGGTAAGTATGGCTTTCATTTACTACATTGATTTTTCTTCCACAAATCAAAACCAAAAAATATACAAGTGAAACAAAAGCTCTTTTTTTTTTCTTTAATAATTTCAGACTTACTAAAGGAGTAAAAAATTCTATTTGAGCTAGTTTATGTCAGAACAGATGATCTGCATTAACATTTTCTCAAGTGATACACAGTTTCATTGCATCACTGCTTTTTGCATTGGTGTCTTCATGAGCAGAAATACTTCCTACTGACTGTCATATCCATAATGTCCTTTTTTGGGTTTTCTTCTAAGTCAGTTTCTATTGCTCCAACTTCTGCTAGTTTCCATTCAAGCTCTGTAAAAAAAAAAAAAAAAAAGACAATTTATTCTGATAATCGCAATAAATTTTCACTTAAGAGAAAAAAGGACTTCTATTAAAGACCAAACTCCATCTCAATAACAAAAAATAAAGCCATCCTTGTGACAACTCAAATTTATCTCAGTAAAATACCTAATCACGAAATTGCAAAATATCTGTGCTGATCCAATGTTCTTACCACAGAATTACAATAAATTCTTTACTTTTTGTAGACTTTTTTCCTACAAAAATATTCAAAAATCTTTTCCACCTTTAAGCAGTGAAATTTAGATCTAATGATTGCGAACAACATAAGATTTTCTGTAAAGTGAATTATTTAAAAATATTTCTACCTTCCACTTTAAGAAATATTCCCCCACATTCAGCTACACCAATGAACCTGCCTTGTATTTCACCAGTTTTATATACAATTATTGTGGGTAAACATCTGTCATGGTAATTCTGAAAGCAGCTGTTCACAATGGCTTTGAGAAACTTGACTTCTGGAAACTTTCTGGCTAGCAGGCCAAGGTGTTCGTTAACCAGGGAACACAATGGGATGCTAGAAAAGAATAAGAAAGTTGTGATGACACTGGAGTGTCATCATCATTTCTGGAGTAAATGATTTGTAAAATAACTAAAGTTAATAAAAATAAGGCCTTCAAAGAATAAATGTACCTTTTCCTATAGTCTGCTTCTACTTTAATTCGTTATAAGAATTGCACCACAATTTTTATTTAGCTTCTTCCAAGTTCATTGTAATTTAAAGAGCTGTTCAAGTGAAAATATGTAATAGGCACAGTCTATAAAATCTATCAGTAAAGCTACCAGATGCTTCAAGCATCGTGCTGCAATTTTGTTATCCATTAAGATTTTAAAGCTTTTTTTGTTTGTTTATTGTAGAGTTTAAATGAGATTTTTTAATCTGTAATACACACTTTACTTGAACTGGCTTTCAGTTTAACATTTAGTTACTCCTTTACTCTTTTAGCAAAACCTAAGGAATGTCAGGGAAACATTTGTATAGTCATATTACCACCATAGGCCTGTTCATTACTTTCATAGATACTATTTGCAATACAGTCACTATATAAACCTCAGTAAAAAAAAACAACCAACCAACCAACCAAAAACACCCACCCAACCCCAAAAAACAATGGTGTTTTTTTTTGTTCCCTCCAGCCCATTAACCTTTTAAAATTTAGGATCTTTGTTGTGACTGACTGAAGTTCAAGAAGCTGATTGGACTAGATGACCTTCAAAGGTCCCCTCCAAACAAAACTACTCTGATTCTGTGATTCAGCCTAGGGACCCTCGATGAGTTCCAGGAGCACCCTCAGGTGGCTGATGAGGGGTGAGGCAGTGGTGTTACTAGCCGTAAGAGACTTTGGAGATATCATATTAGTTCCTAAGCAATTTTGAGTTTCCTCACAGACTCATATTTATGCAATGAAAAAGTACAGAATTGCTTCTCCAGTAAACAAAAACAATGAAAAGCTGCTATTTTCTTTCTACAGATCTATAAATTTAAATTCTTGTGATTTGAACAATTTCATTTGATTGACCTGTTCTTATTGCTCCTGGAAATAATACTCAATTCTTGACAACTGAGATGAATCAGACAAGCTTCCACCCAACAGGCTTAAAAAGAGGAAAAGAGAAAGCTGAGCTGAATCTAAAAAAATGCATTAGACGTTCCAAAGTAATTCTCAGTGCTTTTGAAAAACATCTAAGAGAGTTGCTAACATATGCTAATCATGGGAGTCCTTGGACATTTCTGCTGGATCCTGTCACAACTTCTGCTACCATTAGAGAATTTATCAACTGATCACCTAACACATGCCCTAGCTTTCCTCAATTCTCATAACTGAGACTTTTCCTATTGGGCTTTTGATTTGTTCAAGTCAAAGGGGAAATAAAGGTAGAATAATCCTGTTAGAACACTCCTGCTGAGGAGAGTCTGCAAAGGAACTTCCCTTAGCACAGACAGTGGACGACACTTTCTTAGTGAAATTCAGAAATCGCAGTCAGATTCAGTATGTGGTGATAAGAATAGATAGCAAAAGAAATCTGTCATATAATTGAACAAAAGTGAAGCGGTTAACTCTCACAACGTGCATTAACAAATCAAGGAGGTCCCGTGCTCTATGATTCCATGGCCTTCAAACAATTGCCATTTCACTAGTATACTGTATTTCATTTTTCTTGGTATTGTTTTTTAATTAGCAGTTCAGTTCTCTGTCTTGAAGTATTCAACATCTTAAACAAAAAAGTATTTACCTTGACCGATAAAGATGAATTATAACCCAAACATCCTTTGGAACATTTGTAACTTCTTTTACATACTGCTCTCCACAAGTTTCTCTCAGCTCCCCATACTTTTGCGTCCTCTGAAGACATTTCCATTCTTGTAAGCGTCAATGCCTAATTGAAAAGTAATAATAAAAATAAGCATTTTGAACATTTTAAATGCATTTTAGAATTACATCTAGTGCATTTCTCTCAATTACTTTAAAAAATGCTTTGAGTAACCCTTTAGCTCAAGGTCTTCTAATGTAATTTCAGAGCTAGAAAGGCTTCTATGCTAATCTTTATTCAATAAGACAACATTAAAATAAATTTTCTTAGTTTTAAGTTCCTCAATATTAGATTTAGGAAACTTAAGTATCAAACGTATTGCAGAAGGGTTTACTATTTGAGAAAGAGCGAGAAAAACTTAAAGCAGATACTAATTGTTTTTCTGATTCTGCAAATGAGATTAGTTTGAAGAAGAACTACCAGTACTTACGCTAATATTTATGAGATAATTTTAAAATTCATGAAAACTGGAATGTAAAAACAATAGGTGGCAGTCTTCATCTATAAAAATACTTGCAAGATAGAACAGGAAAATGCCTCACTGAGATTTGTTGAACTAAGAGCAGCTCTTAATTTAACTAATTAAAAGCCACTGTAGAAGTGGATTTTTCAAAAAAGATTAAGTAATATATATGCAACGTTATTATACTCTAGCAACAATGCATGTTAATTTAGGTTCACAACTTCTACATAATTATGTAAATTATTATCTTCCCATGAGAATACAGCACTAGATACACAGTGTTAGCACTTGAATTATTTTAGTCATTTTAACAATGCAGAAGCAGCAAGTGCAGGTTGACTCTAGACAGAGGAAATCTTTTGATCATATTAGCATTTTTATTCTGTGTAAACTGCATGTCTCATTTTTCTTAGTTAGAGTACAAAGCTCTGCAGAACTCAGCACAGTACTTTGTAAAATACCTACAAAAATATATATGTGAATGTCCAATATAGCTAAAATTACCAAATCCCCATAGAAGCTGCCAAAGTTTTCTGAACCTGAATTTATAAAATATATTGACTCTGCTTGGCATTGTAAGTAAAACAATTGGTGTGCTCCTATTAAATAGCTGAATAAGGTTGTGCCACAGTTATGCCTAAGAACAGTATTATGGGATATCACAGAATTAGGCCATCGCAGCATGGCTGAGGTTGGAAAGGACCTCTGGAGGTCATCTGATTCAACTGCCCTGCTCAAGCAGGGTCAGCCTTGAGCAGGCTGCCCAAGAACATGTCCAGAGACAGCTTCTGAACATCTCTGGGGACTCCACAACCTCCCTGGGCAACCCTTGCCAATGCTCAGTCACTCTCACCGTAAAAAGGTGTTTCCTGATGTTCAGAGGGAACCTCCTGTGTTTCAGTTTGTGCCCATTGTCTCTGGCCTGTCACTGGGCACCACTGGCAACACCACAGCTCTGTGTGCTTTATACTCTTCCTTCAGGTATTTATAGACATTGATTAGATCTTCCGTGACCCTTCCTCCAATATAAACTTTAAATGAATATTTTCATTAAGTAAGAAATAGAAAAGCCATTAAAATTATCTTGGATAAGAAGCAAAACAAACACAATAGTTGTATATTAGGGGCCCACAGCTGACTTGATAAACATATTTCAAAAACACCTAAGTTTATCAACTACTACCATTCCAGCATAGACACTGCAGCGTATGATATAGTGAAACTGCAATTCATAATAAATTTTATATTGCATTTTTATTTCAATATCTTTAGAAAGCATACTGTACTAGAAATGAGTGCTATCCAAAAGGCAGAGATATATTTTGCTCGTAACACTCCGATTAATTATTTAATTATAAATTATCATGCCCAGTATATAGATGAGGGTTGGCTGGAAAGTTTTTTTCCTTCTCTCTCTCTGGCGCTCTTCCAATCTCTCTCACTCTTGGGATCTCTCCTCAGGGCTCTTGCTCTTCTGGGATTGCGGTTTTCGTGTTTCTCTGTTTCAAGACCACTAGCCAAGACAGGTCAGGCATTGCTCAGCAGGTGGTGAGCAATTACACTGTGCATCACTTGTTTGTATACATTATCATAATTTTAATATAGTATCATATATTATTTTTATAATTATTTATATCATTATTACTTTTTATTTAGCTTTATTTCGATTATTAAATTGTTCGTACCTCAACCCACGAGTCTCCTTCCCTTTTCCCCTTTAATTCTCTTCCCCTTCCCCTGGTGGGAGAGGGTGAGAGAATGGCTGTGTGGTGTTTAGTGGCCAGCCGAGTCAAACCATGACAAGAGAAAATGAGATAGAGAACTTTTCCTTTCTTTGAACATTTATCATCATTGCTCTAACTCCCAAATGTGAGCACTGTCTATCTGCTGGCAAAGGAGCGGAAGGTGAAGAAATGCAGTTGTATCAGTCAGTAGACATTACTATTCAAAAGATTCTGAGTTAATTTTTCAGGAGCATGTACATGTACAGTAGTGTATGTTAATCTGGATAGAAATATCTTACCACACCTGTACATTTCAACAGCTTTCCTATCGGCCTCATCAAAGTCATCTTCAGCTTCCTTCAGTTCTTCAAGATTCATTCTTTCATGTGGTTTCACTAGAAACAACAAACAAAAAAACAGTCACCTTTTGTTCTCCAAAGTGTCTACAAACATTTTAAATGTATGAAAAGTATTACACAGACATGGAATTAATGAAAGAAAAAGATGTACCAATTTCAGAAAGTAGTCAACTTTGGCATAACTCTGGGTAAGAGAGCAAAAAAACCTGAATTTATTTAGCTATATACAGGAAAATACAGAAATATAGGATTTGAATCTTGGTCATACTGATTAGTTCCTTTATGAAATTATGGAAATTAGCTATCCATACATGTTACATGCCATAATGTTTTTCACTAACTCTGTTGTATGTTTAATTTAGAATTCTTTTTAAAATAACCAAGTGAAAATAATTAAAATAAACATATAATTATTGTACAATGTTTAAGTTACAAAAAGCATTATTGAAAATACTTCCACTTTTCAATTTTTTTTTATACTAATGGCATGTATTTTTAATTCTTCTTGCCTTCTGCTTCTTTCTGCAAGCGTAAAACCATTTCTTCAATTTCATCTTTCAGTTTTTATTTCGGAGGAAGAATTCCAAAATGGCTCAGAATGTCATTCCATTCAGTATCTTCATTTGGATCCTGTTTTAATATTATGAAACTAAACTAAATCAACAAATCAGTCTTGTGTGCACTTTTTAAAACCAAAACCAGTCCTTTTTCACTTTGGCATATATTAAGGATGTAACAAAAGGAAACCATTACTTAGAGGCTGCAATACCCTCATGGACTATTCTCTGTCATGAATCTTCATCTGCCATTTTCACTTCTGAAGAGAAAATGGCAAGAAAATAAGAGAGAAAGAAAACTCGAAATCTAAACATAGATAAATTAATCAGTCTCCAAAATATGAGTTAAAAATTGCTTAAAAGATATATGGGAACCTACTTCAGAAACCCAAAACTATACACCACTTTCTTAAACACACTTAAAGCAATACGGCTTTATACCGGCAAGATTTTTGTATCAGTATTTTCATGTTACTACTAAGAATAAGATATTGACATTGTGAATAAACACATAAACATATAAAAGTATGCCTAGAATCAGAAGAAAAAGACTTTTTTATTTTAAAGGAATGATTAATATTAATGCGTCAACATAAGCTACTTCATACACCATGTTTATAACACAGGACTTCTGTAGATGTTAAGTCTACATTTGTGCTAATTTTAATTAAACAGTTGAGATGAAGGAACTGCATGTTATTTATAAGACCTCATTTCTACTGAAACTAACACATTAAAAGAATCTGTTTATTGTAACTGGACTGCTGTTGGAATAGTAGAATAGCAACATATTAGGAAGCCTTGAATATGGATTAGAAGTAGTAAAGCAGATTTTAAAACAGTTTGTTAATCAAAAAGTGTGGTATTTTTGGTCCTGAAATAACGACTTGTTTGAAAACCTCCACAAAGAAATCTCTGTATAAATATGTATATATCAGAAATATTTAGCGATATTCATAATTCCATAATAAAGCAGCATCAGATGAACAAAAAGTACATTACAAAAATTTTACCTGAGGAAACATCCAGGATTTCCACTGGATTACTACCGTGCCCATGAGTACTACATTGGCCTTTCCAGCTGACAGATGCCTCATTTTTATTCAAAAAGTTTCTTGTACAGAATTTATTATGAGTATAATGAAGATCAAATGCTACACATGCCTCAAGGAATTTCACAAAGGTAAAAGAATTGCTTTGCATTTTAGAAGAGAATATGGGAAATCCCCAAAGAGAGTAAATAGAATCATGCTATCGCTTACAAGGAGGTTAAGTACATCTACCAGTTTCTCTGGCATGAGGAAGTGAGGTTTTGGAAGGTTTGGAGTGGAAAGGAAGTGTCAGTAGCTTGTGACAGTTCCTCCAACGCTCCTATTGCATGGGCTCAGCAGACTCCAGGTGAGGGTACTGCTACCAATATTCACTGCTAGTGGAGAGCTCTGGCTTTGCAAACACCTATCGCCTTATTGCTAAGACAAAGAAGAGATTTCAAACATGAATACTTTAATTGATTCCTTCTGCAAACCTCCAATATCCAGATTTTGGACTAGAAATGACAACTCCATTGTAAATAGTTATAGTATTTGGAAAATTATTTTCTGTATCTTTCTACCTCTAAGATGATGGTTATTTCATCACCGAGTCTTTCGAATATACTAGCAAACTTACTTTAACTTTATCCACATATGAAAATGTATATAAAGAATTAAGTGATGTTTTCTTTTTCATTGAAAAGTAGTTGATATAATCCATTGGACAAAAATAAAAGAGAAGCTCCATATATATACTAATTAATTAGATGGTCACTTATGGGTCTGGAATGGGAAAAACTCAAACGGAGATTTTGCTGTAGCGTAATTCCCCAGGGTTCACTTACATTAAAAAAAAAATAAAATCTTACAGCCAGTCTTACTGCAAGTTTTCAACCCTTCACCAAAGAATTTTGACTTAGGTACTCTCAGAGTATCAAGAAGTCCACAGAACTAAGAGGAGTGCTCCTCCAAGGGAACCGCTGAAGAAACATGAGTGATACACATGCAGTTTGTCCTCCACAGAAGTGCTTTACTGTATGATTTTCTGACTTAAGTCAGGATCAGATTTCCTTACTTCACAGAATGCAAATCCTTCTCCATAGCAGAATGATTACGAAGAATCACGAGGCATTAAAAAACATAATAAAAATCATCATCATAACCGGACAAATAATTTCAAAACCACCCAACAAAAAGGAACTGAAACAGCATTGGAATGTACGTAATTCAGAGATAAGCCAGTTTTTGCCAGGAATGATTTTGACATTTGTCATGGGTTAGGCTGCTCCGGCAACTGAACCCTACACAGTCGTTCACTCACCCTCCCCCAGCCCCAGGGATGAGGGAGAGAATTAAAGGATAAACGGGAAACCCGTGGGTTGAGATAAGAACAATTTAATACAGATGATTTAATACACAGTGTAGATGCTCACCACCCCCTCTTATCCGCAGCCTGTCTCGTCCCAAAGCTGCAATCCCAGACGAACGTGAGGCCCCAAAATAGAGAGGGGGACAAAGAGATAGTTCTCCGAGAGTGGGAGTACTGGAAGAGAGAGGAAAAAAAGGCAATAGAGCAAAAGCGCAGCAAGCGCGAAAGAGCAAAAGTGGCAAAAGAGCCAAAGCGCAAAAAGCCCTCTTTACGGCTGTCCCTCACTTTTATACTGGGCATGATGCTGCATGATATGAAATATTAATTGGCCAGTTTGGCCCTCAACCTTCAGTTCCACCACAAATCACAAGGGGAATCACAGCCCCCTGGTCCCAGCTATGCCCCCCCCTTATCCTGCCGTGCTTCTGCACTCCGGCCAGGACATGGCACACTGAAAAGTCCTTGGCCAACTACAATCAGCTTGCTATCAACATCAACTTGCTATCAACATTCTTCTCAGAGCGAGCCTCTGAGTAAAACCAAAACACGGAGCTCTTCTAGCTGCTAAAAAGAAGAGCTAACTCTGTCCCAGCTAAAACCAGGACAACATTTTATGTTTTTCTCTAAGTTTAGGTTCTCTGTAACTTCCATAGTATTTTACTTAAATGGTGTACTTTATACAATTTCTATTTAATGTTTGTAACATTCAATATGTTTGTGCAACCAGTTGCACATTTGACATTTTATGGATGCTGTTATATCTACAAAATGTAAAAGCAAAAAAAAAAAATGGATCAAGAATCCTAGATCGCAGTAAACATGACAGAAACAAGTGTGTCTGACCAATTCAAGCTCCAGTCTCAAGGAAAATAAGATCAAAAGCTAGCAAAAACCTGTAACAGTTTTTTAACAAATTGAATTAAATGTTTAAAAAGTTAGTGTTAAGTGATTAGTTGAAGGTTGCAGTAATATGCACAGATTAAATAAATGAAAGTGTGTGTCAAAAACTTCAGAAGGTATTTGATGGTGTCGTGGGTTAGGCTAAGTCCGGCAACCAAACCCACGCAGCTCTCCCAGTCCAGTAAAATGGAGAAGAGAGAAAAATATAATAAAAGAGCTGAGGATCGAGACAGGAACAGAGGAGCACCCACCAACCACGGTCCCGGGCAAAAGAGGCTTTTTCTTAATGCAAAACTATTAACAGCTAC